TTCCCCAGTGCATAACCCTCTTCTTAATTCTGAACTCTTGTGGAATTCGTAGTGTTTCCTCAGTGTCTTTTTCATCCTTCAGTGGAATCCATCCCATTGTTTCTGTTATCTCTCAGTGAAAGTTTTATCTTATCAGCAGACCCACAGCTTGTTTGTAAATACAAACCCGTCATTCCTCTCAGTGTAGTGAAAACCCGGAGCAGTGGCAGAGAAGTGGCAGGGCTGGGCAGGAGCCGCCTGGCTCTGGAACACCACTTGGAGAGGCTCCTGTGGAGGCAGAGGGGTCTTGGGGATCCCGGGGTTTCCCCTGAGGCACCCGAGTAGATGGTGAGGGTCCTTTGTTTGGTGAGGCAGATGTTAATAAGGTCCCAATACAAAGGCTGCCCTCAGGAGCGGAGTTTCACGCACGGTAGGAGGAAGCAGGAGACAGCATCCCGCAGTGGTGGCGAATTCTCCCCACGGTGACCGCAGCCTGCCTCTGATGTCGATAGCGAGAGAGCTAATGCCCCTTCCTGCTAGACCAGATCTCTGCCCTTCCCAAGAGAATGCCCTCAGCTGCCTTAGCAGCCAGCTGCACTCCTCCCCCTTCTCCTCCGCCACATCCTTTGTGTCTCTTAAGTATCGGTCGCTATTGTCTCTTAGCAATAAATGGGAGAAAACTCACTGAGAGAAAAAAAAGGAAAAATCCTAACCGCCAACAACAACAAAAGATAGCAGAAAGAAGTGTAATAATTGAACCTTGTAACTTAACTTACTGATGGGATCACAATTCCATGGGCATGGCTCCAGGGAAATCCAGCCTGCGTAGGTGTGCAAATCTGGGTGTCCCAGACAATTGTGTGTGCCAAGGGAAGGATGTGAGTACTAAAACCATGTGGAGTGGAAGGACTTGGGGAGGACAAGGCATCAGACAAACCAAAAAGGTGCAAAAGGAGCTGGTCATGGGTAAAGTGGAACTAGTCAGTGAGCTTGGCCAAGGCAGCCAAGCTCCAGGCAGGGATTTCAGGCAGGTAGAGGGTTCACACAGGTGTCTACAAAGCCACCTGGCAGCAGCTGCCCTTGCATTCTGCTTTATTTGTGCTCAGCTGGTGCCTTCCAGAGTGATGTGACACAGAAGAGTGGAATGCCTTGTGTTCCCTGGGACTGGGAATAAGGCCATCATCCCTCGACACATGAAGAGTTGCCTGGAGAACAGAGAGGTGGTGAAATACAAAGCCCAGCACATGCCATTTACCAGTTGAGCAGTCAAGGTGGCACATGCCCTGCAAACATCTCCACTATGAACCCATGCAGCAGGACAAAACTGGGCAAACAGCCAGGACAGGAGCCAGACTTCCCCTTTTCACAGAATGCAACCTTGACATGCAGAGCATGGGCCACTGCTCTGCATCTGGTGTCCCCAGGTGCCATCCCAAAGGGCTGGAGATACCTGTGGTGCCGTGGCCCAGGAGGTCTCTGAGCGACCTGCACAGGGAGATACAGACTCCTCCAGCACTCAGGGGCTCTTATCACCTACCTGCAGCTGGGCCAAGGGAGCAGAGAAGCAGTAGACCCTGTGATGTAAACAGGACTGGGCACTGCAGGAACAGGAGGAATTGCCAAATTGGATGAGGTGTTGGATGAGGTCCCACGTGGGCTGGCAGCTTCAGGGCATAGCAGGTCATTGCCCAGAGGAGGGGAGGTAGAAGCTCAGTGGGGTGGTACCCAGACAGACTCCCAGCTCTGTTCTCCAGGCCATCCAGCCCTCTGGACTGTGCCCTGCTCACACAAACTGGAAATACTGGGCAAGCTCAGTCCAGCCCTGAGCAGATGAGGGGATCAGAGGAGTGGGGAGCAGACTGAAGACCTTCCAAACCATTCCAAACCTGCTTTCCTGGAGCCAACCTGCAGGCTGAACAGGTGAGTACCGGCTGTCTAAAAAGTGCTGAATGCTGTGACCGTTCCATCATTTCTTCTCTGCTTTATCATCTTCAGCCCTTGTGTCTTGCAATTCCCACTTTCAGAAGTGAATCCTGTTTCCTCTCCTGTTGATTGACTGTGGTGTGCTGGATTGATGTGCTGGCATCCAGGACGGAGAAAGTGAGACCCTGATTGATGAGGTGGAGGACATGAGTGGAAGAGGTGAGTTTTCAGAAGGGGAGGAAGGAATTTCTTTCTCTGTTGAGAAGAAAATGCATCCTGCTTTTGCTGTGGGACAACTATTGGAGGTCAAAACACTGGATCTTGTCCCCAGAGTAGACTTTTCATGGGCTGGGACTTGGTGGCTGCAATACTCCCAGCTGAACTCTTGGTGCTTCTCTGTAGACCCAGCTCCAGCACCAAAGGCTCCTGAGCTGACATCCTTGGCCCTCTCCATTGCTCACAGAAAGAGACGTGGATTTGGGGCCATGGGTAATGGGTCTCGGAGTAACATCTACCATGGTTGGCAGTGGTTTGTGCCCTGACCTGCCTGTTCTCCTCTTTCAGCACCAGAGACACCCCAGCTCAGGTCCAGGTGGCTGTACTTCAGGTGTGCACCCACCCACTCAGGTGCCTCCTCCTCCAGGAAACTGAGGTCTTCTTGGCCAGGATGTGTGCAGGCCCCTGGGGCAAGGACAGGATTGGGGCAGCAGGGAGCCAGGGACAGTCCAGTTAGGGGGGAGTTTTCACACTGCAGGGAAAAGAAACTCATCCTGTCCCTTCTCTTGCTGGGGTGGGTGCAGCCCCAGGGCTGCCTGTTCTGAGCAGCTTCTCCTCCTCTGTCCCCAGCTGATGTGACTCTGGACCCAGACACCGCCAATGCCTTCCTCATTCTGGCCAGTGACCAGCGAGGGGTTGGACGGGGGGATGAGTGGACCTTGCTGCCAAACAACCCGGAGAGGTTTGACACGGAGCCATGTGTGCTGGGCAGCCAGGGCTTTGCTGCGGGGAGACACTGCTGGGAGGTGGAGGTAGTCAAGGCAGGGGACTGGTGGGCCGTGGGAGTGGCCCAGGAGTCTGTCAAGAGGAAGGGGGTCCTCAGTTTTACTCCCCAGGAGGGGATCTGGGCTGTGGGGCAGTGGTTTGGACAGTACTATGCTTTCAGTGATCCTGACTGGACCCCCCTGCACCTTACCTGCCACCCCAGGGCCATCCAGGTCTGCCTGGACTTCACAGACAAGCAGGTGACTTTTGCTGATGCTGAGAGTGAAGCCCCAATCTTTGCTTTCTGCTTGGCCTCATGTGCTGGGGAGAGGCTGCGCCCGTGGCTCTGGGTGGGGATGGACTCATGGCTCAAGCTGTGCCCCTGATAGGGAGGGAAATTGGGGGGGAAGGGGAGAGATTGGAAAGGCGAATGTCATCACCTTGAGATTGGTGCTGGGAGGGTCGTGCATCCTGCTGGCTTCTCCTCATATGGATCCTCTGGCCACCAAGGGGAGGACTGGCAGGTCATGGAGCTGGATGCCAAAACAGCCTCCTTCAGTCCCCCACCCCTCAGCTGGGACTGCAGGGACAACAGGGAGCACAGAGACCCGGTGCAGGGAGGAGCTTGGTGCCTGGTGTTCCCATGGGAGGGACCACCACTGAGTGCCAGGGCACTGCAGAGCTGCTCTGTACGAGGCCTTGGAAAATATAGCAAAGTCCAGCTCCTCCAAGGGTGCTGGAGTAGTGCCCTGCCTCTGGCTTTTTTCAATTAAGTTAAAAAACCCCAAACACAGCTGGATACTCATGATAACACTTATCTTCCCCACGCACCCAGAGCCTCTCCTTGCCTGATGTGCACCAAGCACATTTCTTGCAGCAGAGCACTGGTAGCAGTGCAGGAGCATTAGTTATGGGCAGCCCAGAAAGGAAAGCTCAGTGCTGAGCTGTGTCTGAAATCCACAGGAGAGGCAACTCCCACAGATCTGCCATTTGCTGATCTTGCCCCATCAAGGTCCCACCTCACAGGATCCTCCTAGATTCTATCCTTAGGAGAGGAGAAGGTGGATGTAGATGAAGGGGGACATTGCCTGGGTCCAGCCTAGATTTCATCTCCAAACACTTTTCTGGTTGGACCTTCTTTAGTGCCACCTCAGTTGTCACTGTTGTGGTGGCATCAGGACACAGGCAGCAGTATTGGTCTTCCTTCTCTACTCCAGGAGCTGCAAGGAGCTGCACCACTGGGTCAAGCCCAGGTATCTGCCCCCTAAGCCTCTTCCACTGTGGTAGCACCAAGACTAGGGAAACCCAGGGATCTCTGTTCCGTGAGGTACTTCCTACTCTCCATGGGCAGAAGCCTCAGACTGTCTTGGTTTTGCTTGGGATAGAGTTAACTTTTCTCTTAGTAGCTCACACAGTGCTGCGTTTAGGATTTAGGGTGACAATAATATTGACAGCAACAACCAAACCATCAGTCATGTGGTGTTTACCCAAGCCAAGAACTTTTCAGTGTGTCATGCTCAGCCAGCAAGGAGCTGCACAAGAAGCCGGGAGAAGCTCAGCCAGGACAGCTGACCTGAACTGTCCAGAGGGATATTCCACACCACAGGATGTCTTGCCCAGTGTGTGAACTGGGGGAGCTGCCTGGAAGGGGCCAATCACTGCTGGGGGACAGGCTGGGCACAGATCAGTGGGTGGTGAGCAACTGTACTGGGCATCACTTGTTCCTCTTGGGGTTTGTATTTTTTTTTCATTACAATTATTATTATCATTATGATTATTATGTACTACTTTGTCTCAATTATTATACTGTTTTTACTTCAAATAGAAAGGTTTTTTTCCTCCCCCCCTCCCCCATCCTCCTTGGAGGGTGGTGTGTGACTATGCAGTGTTGTCAGCTGGGGTTACACCATGACAGAGGTTCACAGCAGAAGGCTGGTATAAGGAGACAGCAGATACTTAGTTCTGTATTTTGTCTTTTGTAATGCAAAACACCCCAAAAGACTTGTGCTGTGTATTTAGGGACACCTACCTCAACCAAGAAGAAAATCCTTTCTGAAAGCCAGCTCAGTCCCTCAGACTGGAGAAAAGTTGGGTTTTCAACAGATTGGTGTCTGGGAACTTCCTCACTGGAATTTTGTGGTTTGGAGGAGGCGGACTTTGTGCTTTTTTGTGTTTCCTTTTTGATATGCCCCTCAAAAATGTAATTTTGAAAAATCAGCTCTCTGGGAGCTGAGTTGTGTAATTGCAGCATTTGTGTGAGAAATAAACAATTTCATGCAGAATTGCACCGCAAAGACTCAGGAGAGTTTAAATTCAGCTCTCATGTGCTAGAGATCTCTGCATGCCAGAGCCACAAGGGGTAGGTAGGAAGGCTTAAGGAACACCAGGGTCCTTGAGCAAGGCTGGACTCACATGGGCTCTGAGTGGTTTTGGGATGACAGTGGGGGCCAGGAGTGGGGACAGCACATCACAGCAGTGACTGCTGCCTTCTCAACTGGTGCCTGGACATGGAGGCCACAGAGCAACTCCCAAGCTCCCAAAGCCCTTGGTCCACAGGAGGGTGTGATCAGACCCCTGGAACCCTCCTTTTTCCACAGAAAAAGGCTGCAGAACTGGGCAGTGGGGGCACCCCAATGAACATGCTCTTCTCAGCATTGGTCTGTCGACATGCTCCAAACAAAGCTTGCCTGGATTTGGCACATCAGCCATGCAACTGTGACTGAACACCCTTCCCATGAAACTGTTTCCTTTTCCCCATTGCCCCCTTTCTCTGGGACATCTGCTCCTTTTACACTTACTGCTATTGCAGATCCTGCTTTTTCTCTTCCCCACCCTGTCAGATTGCTGTGTGGCATCACAGTTTTATTTTAAAGGACTGGCTGAGCCAACCAGGGCACTCCCTTTTTTTAAAACTTTTTTTTTTTTTTTTTTTTTTAAAGATAAACAAGTCCAGAAAACCCTTGATTTGACAGCTTACCCAGGAAACTCATCCAAGGTCTTGCCCAAGGCTAAAGCCTTGTCCAGGGCCTTGGAAATGCATCCAACTTTGGTTGCACTGCTTTGAGTGGCACTTTAAATGAGCAGCTTCACAATTTCCAACCCCTCACTACAAGTATGGTGTGACCAGCTTTGCAACACAGATCCAGGGCCGGGGGCCAAGGTTGCAGGGGATGCTGGGCCTCCTCACTGCCCCACAGAACAGGAAACGATGGCTGCCCAAGTCTCTGCCCTAAGGTTCCATGCTCTACAGCCCCTGCCATGGTGCTGGCCCTGGATGACTCTCAGAGCCAGTTGGTAGTGAGCACTCAGAGCAAGGCTCCTGCCCTGCAGCTAGCTGCCAGCAGCTTTTGCACACTTGGGCACAGCTCAGACACAGCCTGGACCCAGCATGAACACAGACACAGCTCAGACTCAGATGCACTCGAACACAGCTGGACACACCCCACCATGATCCAAGCAAGAGCGTGGGTTTGCAGACATGTCCACATCTCCCACAGCCCTGGAGCAAGGGGCTGGGCTGGAGGGTGGTGGGCAGGCGTGGGTCACATAACTCACAGGAGCAGCATCAGGAGCCTCTGTGGGGCGGCATCATGGCAGCACCAGGGTTTCCCCATGCAGCCCCAAACACATCCCCGGCCCGGCCAGGGGCCAAAGGACTCTTGACTTGGCCCAAACATTATCGCAAGCTTCTGTACACTGACAGGGAACTGCCCAGAAATGACAAAAGCCCTGAGTTTTGTCCAACTTTGAAACCTTCTGCTGGGGCCCTGGGGGCTGGCCAAGGCAGCTGCCCCAGGCAGGAGGTACCAGGGTGCTCTCAGGGAGGCAACCCTGGCTTCCTCCAATAACAACACAACAGCCCAAAGTTTGTCGCACTTTTATTTACATCATTGCACAGCCCGTTTCCCCAGAATGCACTGGAATTGGTGGATCAGACACCGATTGCCCACATCCATGAGCTGAACATCTCCTCTGGGAAGGAGGACAAGACTCAAAGAGTCACTATTAGATCTTACAGGGGCACATGCAACAACTCCCATTATTTGCAATGACAATAAAGCCAAGGATGCTGAGTGCAGCCACAGCCACACAGGGCTGGGCCCCCACTGCCTCAGCCAGGGGCTTCTGGCTTTCACAGTTGCATTTTTGGATTGACAGTGGGTTTCTTAACTGGAATACTGGCTCCATTAAGTCCTTAGCCTGAGGATGTACTGTGGGAGAGAGCATTCCTCATCACCTGCCAGAATTTGGTGCACTGTGGGGCCAAGCTCCTGGGAGGCAGCCAGGGCTGGGAAGGTTTAACCATCTCCCCTCCCCCATTTTTCTTCACTGGTGATGTCCTGGTGACAAGGGGGCTGTTGGGAAGGGGCTGAAGGAAGGGACACCCAGGACAAGGCACAGAGCAGTGGTGCAGAGCCTGCTGCCATGGAAGGGGTGTGCAGAGCAGGGAGCGCCTGTGTGGGAATGGAATGGGACTGGAGCAAGGACTGGGACTGGAGCTGGGCTGCAGCAGCTTCTCCACCAAGAGTACCAGGAGCAGAGTAATCCCTGCATGAGTGCATGACTTGGAAAAGGGCAGACACCCATGAGTATGTGGAAGAAGGGAAGGGACAGTCGGGTGGCTGACTAAGAAAGGGGAGTGGAGATGTGAAGCCTGGCTGTAGCAGAGGACATTAACCCCGCAGTCACACCAGCCCCTCACACTTGAAAGAGAGACTAGTTCAGAGCAGCCCCCAGGGCACAGAGAGGCTGCTGCAAGATGTATCAGGGTATCCCCAAGCTGCACCAGAACCCCGGGAGAGGAGATAAGAGGTGAGGAGACAGAGACCAGGGCCCAGGGCTGAGCAATCCTGTTGGGGAAGATGGCACACAGGTCGCTGCTGCTCAGGCCACCAGTAACTTCCAGTTCAGGGTGAGGGAACACATAAGGAAACACATCCTGCTTTGCAGCTAGAAAGGAGGAGGAGGTGCTTTGAATTCAGGAAATTACAGATGTCCATCTTGCAGGGCATTGCACTGATCCACTTGCTTTCAGCAAAGGGGCACAGGGACATAGTGCATGACCACCACACAGGCCCCTCAGAACCTGCCTCCTGCCTGCTCTCTACCCTCACCACCATGGAGCCAGAGCCCAGGCTCCAGCAAAGCAGCTGCACACACCTCTGGAGCACTTGGAAATGCAGTGTCACTGCCAGCATCCTCACAGCCTGTGCCACTCAGGAGGCTCAGGAAAGCTCAGCACCAGGTACAAGCACTGTCTGGCAGGGTGAGGAGATGGCAGAGGCAAGGACCAAAGCCAAACCAGGGGGACTCTTGGCAGAGGGGGCACTCCAAGACAGAGGGCTTTGAGAGCTGCATGTGCTGGAAATGCAGGTGAAAGGAGGAGGAGGAACACTGGCCCCACAGGACAAGGGACACAGAGCCTGTTCTCTGGGAATCAGCAAACTGGGGGAGTTTCACTAGAGGATACAACAGGCAGGCAGCGCTACCAGGGATAAATCCAATCCCAGCAGCTCCTCTGGAATGTGCAAATAAAGCGCAGAGACAGCCAAGAGCACCTGCATCCTGCCAGCACTGCAGGGCATGGCCTGTCCCCTAAGGTACGTGTGAAACTGATGCTACGGGAGGTCCAGCCTCAAGGTGGCAAAAGGACATCAGCAAACAGAGACTCCAACTCCCACCTTCTGGGTTCAGAAAAGCTCCTTTCTCAATCTTTTCAAAGCAAAAGGCAATGGTGGGTTTAGCTCGTATGGAGCCATCTCTCCCCACCCTTGCATCCTCCATCTACCTTTGCCAGACAGACCAAGGGCTGAGTGCATCGGAGTCCTGGGGATGAGCCAGGATCTCAAGGAAAGCATTTGGTGAGATCATGTCTGCACCGGAAAAGATTCTCTCATTCTGAAACTGATTTTGAAATTCTCAAAATTACAGTACTTTACAATACAAAATGTCTCCATTCGGTATTACGTCATTTTACTCCTTCTGGGATTATAATAATTATTAAAAACACTCAACTTTCTAGAAAGGACAGAACACCACAAAAGAGACCAAAGAGTAACAGGAAGGCTGCTGCAGTATATCAAAACCAATTTAGTGCAAAGGAGAAGGGGACTTTCAAGAATGGTTGATGAAAAGTGTTCTTCATATGCTCATTTGGAGAAAAGGCATTGATTTAACCTCTGAATGAGATCAGGTTACCAGCTTCTATCCTGAAGCTTAGAACATCAACACTAAAGGATTGAAACACAATATGCATGGCCATTAAAAAATAATATTATGTATAGATATATATAGAGAGAGAGAGAGGGAGATGTTTTCCACATATGGTATTTCGTTATAGGAAAGTGTCCCTGCAGACAGGCATTTTCTGCCATCAGGCTCTTTTGGGCCATTTCACACACAGATGTTGATTATGCGTCTCTTTGCCAAGGTCTAAAGCATGTGCTGAGCACAGAGTCCCTTTGGGTGGGATGATTGTTTTCCAGTGCCCCCACAGCAGCCACATTCCCTGGGCCTGTGGGGACACTCAACCCTCCACCTTGGCCGGCTGCGGGATGGCTCAGACAGTGGTCTCATCCGCGGTCTTCTTCATGAGCTTGGCGGAGAGGAGGGAGTGGGGCATGGGGTGAGGGCTCCGCGAGGCTGGGATCATCAGGCGGACTTTCTGGTTGGTCCTTCGCCACTCCGAGTACAGCTGGCAGTGGTAGCGGAACGAGACCTGGCGGGCGAGAACGCGGCGCTCTGTCACCAACCCCTGCCACTCGTGACGGA